AGCAGTTTGTGCTGTGGGTACATGATGTACAGAAGACAACGTGGGTCACTGGAGCTGATTTTGTGTTCTATGTGACTATGAGTCAGTCCTGAATTAGTTCATGATCTGCTGAACATTACAGTCTTAGAAAAACTGAGATAACAGAATGACTCTAAGTTGCTGATTATATTCCTGGGGTTCCTCCTTACTGCAGATGCTCATACATGAACCCCTATCACCTAGAGCAATCTGGGTGTGTCTCATAGCAAACTATAAAAACCTCAAGTTCAGGCAGGAAGTGCTGTGTGAATGACTCAAGTTCAGGCAGGAAGTGCTCCTGGGTGAAGACTGATGAATAAGAGACTTAATTATGCTACAAGAATGGGTGGTTCTGGAAGATACTTTATAGCATAAATACTGTATTACTAATACTAATAAATAGCATTAGTAAGTTGACACTGAAGAAAAATATATTTTCTATTTTCTTTGGGGACAAAGATGAAGAGATAAATTGGGGAAATTGGCTTTATAACTGATTGGAGTGTATGGGAATATTGATTGTCAAGAGCTGTTGAAGGGTCTCAGATTTCCCCTACTTGAAACTAAGAGTTAGGCTGCCAATTCAGACATGCTGGCAGGAGACACAAGACTCCTTGGCTCAGAGACAAAGCAATGGTGGCATTCACAGTGTCAGCACTGGCATTTGTTTCTCAAACCCCAATGCCCACAGAGTGACACAAAGAAGGTTGAGGTTTCTGCACACAAAGTGGGTCTCATTACAGGAAAGAAACATTGATCTTATGAGCCCCAAATCTTTTATACTTGGAAGTAAGCCTGTCTGTCATTATCTTTATTATAATGCTCAAGAAACAAACTTGGCCTTTTCTCTGGAGAGAGATACTACTGTTGTCCTTTAAGGCTGTTTGCTGTACAAACATCCTTGAAAAGATAACGTCCCTGAAAAGGGAGTCAATACTTCTCCTGGAAAGACAAGCAGAAGCACATACTCACAGAGAAGGGTCTCTCAACAATGACCCATTAATAGATTCAATTTAGAGGGTTTAAATCATAAAATAATATTTTACGTGGTAATATTTCATTGTTTAGTGAAGTATTCCTTTGTTTTACGTACATGTAAAAAAAGTTTTTTTACCTTTTTTCATTGGCAAGAAGTTGGAGACACATTAGGTAAGATATTATTAAATAGAGTGTGTCTTACATTCTGGGTGACATACTTGGCTTGTATTAGGCCCAAATCTATGCAATGACTACCCCAATTATGTTGGGGTTCTGTAGTATAAATCATGAACAAGACTCCATAGACTACATATATTCTAATTGTGATTGATGAACACATTCAGGTGCTATTTATTGCAGGCGAGAAAATTTTAGGTACTATATTGCAATTATTTGAAAATGGAGTTTTAAGAACATATGTTTTCCTCAGGTTTCATATAGATAGTGGGAAAAATAAAAAATATGTGTTAGACCACTTAGAAAATAAAATATATTGTGGGAAAATTTACATTACCAGCTGTACTGATGCTTTGCAACGCATTGGATTTAGTACGGAGCACACACAAAAATTAACAAATATTTGATATTTTAATAGCTCCAAAGTAAATATTTATTTCAGCTGACTTATATGCTTGTGAAACAAATGTTTTTTGCAACAGATGAAATGAATGTTGAATCCTTATTGCATTTAAGTTCAATATTTCTCAAAACACTTTACACAATAGACAGAATTTTGTTAAAACTAGTTTTTTTAAGAATACGGTTTCAAAATATTTACTAAGTTCACATATGCAAAAGATCTGAGTTAGGTCAGAGGACATAAAGATCAGTAAAATACCTCCCTGACTTCATGTTGATCATATGGATTAGAGTGATTATAATTTCAAAGGGAAGAAATTATATCCAGTTTTCTATTGTCTATACCTAAATCACTTCCTCTATTTAAAGTAACTATTCACTATTATTATTGCTAAGATCCAAGCCACAGTAGGAGGTTATAATGCTAACATATTATTTTATATTAATTGAAAAAGTTACCCATATAGTTGAGTATTTCTAAATTTTGGGAAAAATCAATTTTAAGAATAGATAGAGATTGTCCATAATTACATATGAAAGCTACTGTCCCAAGAATTGTATGATTTGCTGAAGACAGAAATCACCATATCACTGGATCTATTAGAAAACAGAATTGTTGTTTTCTTATGATCAAGTAATTTAATATACAAATAATATTGTTCTTGGAAGTTTAATATTTCAAGCATGAAGAAAAGCCATAAGTTCATTGTTTTGTTTTACTTTCTGAAAAAAGTAATAAAAACCCTTTTACCTACGGTTCAACTAACCTGAACCTTAAATTAGTTTAATTGTCCCTCTAAAAGGTACTTTTAAAAGAAAAAATACAAGCAAATTAAGTGGCAGAGATACATCACACATATGTACACAAAGTTGCACCAAGGTAAATTTTTGTGTCAGGAGTGATTCAGGCAAACCAAAAATATCCTTACCATTTAAGACATTAATAATGTTTCATAAATAGATATTATTATTTCACACATAATGGAGAGCATGAGGAAAGGTGGTATGGTAGGAAGTTAGCAGCTCCCAGACATGCAGGAGAGGTCCTTTATCTGAGGTAATCAGAACTGGAGTGGGCCAGTTAGCTGGAAAAATTCAATTGAAGTAACAGTAAAACTAGAGATCTTAGAAACTTATAAGATGTAAATATATAATCATTCATCTGTCTTTTAATACAAGGCAAGGGCTTTTCTTTGAGTACATTTGCTAGTTGCAGTTTCAACCACAGGAGTAATGCATAGTCTAGGATAGCCAGCTTGGTTTCTTGAAAGTCAAGCAATCTGATTTCAGTATCTGTTTCAACTTTTATGATTCTTTTTCTTCACAGTCAGCTATAGTTTCTGCTCCCACGCTTAGTTTGATGGTAATTTTTGTTTTTTGTGAGTCATCTTTATCGTCATACAAAGCTTTCAGCTTTATATTTATATCACATTTGATTTCTCACATATTTAATTTATATATATTTATAATAACCATGATGGCAAAATGAGTTGAAATAAAACTAATACTTAAGAAGTATATAAACTTCTACTAGTGAGAGTGAAAGAGCACTTAACCTTACTAGGTGTGAGTACACTGAAGGTAGAGAGCAGGGTCTGACAAGCCACTTATGTACAAGGTGGTTAAAGATGTCTACTGTTATTGCTCTCAGTAGTAATACAGAAGAAATATTAGTCAGTCCTCATCTTTTCAACACCTAGAAAGGTTATATTTGAAAGACCAGTCTAACTCAGTTCACAAACTGATTTATATAAAAATTATACATTTATTTTCACATACTTTTCATTAATATGTATGCATTTTTTGAAGCATCTAACAAGTTGTTACTGAAAGAGCAAGTTTCTTTCAATTTCCTGTGTTGTTCTAAGTCAGCATAACTGTCCCATATGTAATTTTTTTCTTCTTGTCACAAAGTTTCTATGAATGATTACATGTTATCATTTATCAATATCTGTTACCTATTATCTATTGTCACCTGAGCACTATGGCACCTCATAGTTCCTTAAATTCACTCATGCTCTTTTAAAGGTATCTTCTCCCTTAGTTTTAGTGTCTCTCTTGGTATCTCACTGATGCTTTGTACAGTGCCACAGTGAATATGATCCCGTATCCTTGGAAAATATTATTCAGCTTATTTTTTATAAGCTTCAGCCACACTTTGAATGATGCTTTTAATATTTTCTTAACTACTACTGAACTCTTATCTTTTCTGGATCTCATAGTGCAGTTTGAGGTGGGTCTGTTGAACTAAGCCTTTATACTTCAAACGTGATCTTTATATTTATTCCTGACTTTGGTAACCATAATTACACTGTGACCTTCACTTTCAGGTCTTTGGAAAGCAGTTTTGCTTAATTATGAATTTGCTCCCCAAAGCTGACAAAGACAGTGCCAGTTCCTTAAGATCTGGTGCTATCAACACTCCAGAGACTGGGCTTTCATTCATTTGTATTTGTGTACTTGATTTTGTGCTGCAATTATTTTTAAGCTATTTACAGATTGCTAGCTGGGAAACCAAGCAATCAATAGTCTTTGTTCATAGGCAAATTCTACAGATTACCTGAACTCTAAGGAAGTGATTAAGGTCAGCCTGACTTGTTTAGCAGTGGATGTTCAGAATCCATTCTGTGTACTTGCAGTTTTTAAGGTCATATATATTAAAATCCAGTTAAATTCAAAGAGTTTTGGTGATGAATAGTAAAAGAGGCTGCATTTTAAGTTGATTTTATATAAATATTCTAAAAATAATACTGCACATTTTAATATTCACTTTGAATGTATTGAACTTATTAATGCTTATTATAATACTAATTTTTAGTAAGAATTGCTTAGAGCTATAATTGCTAAGATTAGGGGCATTTTAGAAGACAGTTATTTCTGTTAAATAACCTTTGGAGGGTCTATACCGACTCAAACAGTACATATTCTAAATGACTGACCATCCTGGGAACTTTTTATCAACTGGACTTTCTCAGATGATTCCTCTCTTCCTCAACCTCTGGGAGAAAGGTATGGGTAAAGTATTTTTGTGAGAAGCCTGGAGTGCGTTCTTTCATTAGGAAAGTCCAGAATCAAGAGCAACGTCCTCCACGAGAAGTCCAAGGGGAAGACGCGCGAGGGAGCCAAGGAAAAGATGACCACTTGCATAGAGGATGGTTTATTCTGGCAGGTCGAATACGGCGGAAAGAGAATCCAGCTAGCTAGCTATTTAGATAGAGATATAAACGCATAAGCATTTATATACACAGGGACACCGAAAAAATACAGAGCCCAGTGAAATTCCACCCATCACCGCCCACCTCTGGCTGCAAGTTGGCCGAACGCGGAGAGGCGATTTAAAGCTACAGGCCCTGTCTATACAAGCGCTGGCGAAAAAATGCACACATCTCCCTGAAAATGACTTGTAAATTCCTTCGTTCCTCAAGAATCTGAGGGATGGCAAGTCCAGACTCTCACTATGGCTTTATTTCAGTCGTAGTCGTTCAAAAGACGTCAATTTACATTTTCACAAGGCCCGGTCTCCTTCCCTGCGTGACAAGACAACTCGGCCAATGCTGGAGTGGCTTGAAAACCCAAACACCGCCCGATCCGCTCCGGAGCGGACGGCTCAGTCCAGGGCCTCCCGCCCCGCCCGAGGTCGCCCCGCCCCGAGGGAGGGGTCACCTCGCCACGCCCCCTTGCGTAAGCCGGATACACACCCACGCTCCCCTTTCACCTCGCGGCCGTCAGCTAACGTGGAAGTAAGACCCGCAGGTCCGCTGCGGGGTTGGGAGCGCGCTGGCCCGCGGCGTTGGCCGCGCCGGACCGCGAGCGTGGGCTTCTGCGCGTGGCTCGGTCTTTCCCCGGAGGAAGTGATGGGGCGCGCGGGCGCCGGTGAGCGGGCGCCGGTGTAGTACGCGCGGCGCCTGACCCGGGAGCGCGGAGGCGGCGGCGGCGGCGGCGGCGGCGGGCGCGGGGAGGCCTCTTAGGGCCGCCGCCCCGAGCGCCCGGCCTCCCGCGCCATGGCCCCCATGGGCATCCGCCTGTCCCCTCTGGGGGTGGCCGTGTTCTGCCTGCTGGGGCTCGGCGTGCTCTACCACCTCTATTCGGGCTTCCTGGCCGGTCGCTTCAGCCTCTTCGGCCTGGGCGGCGAGCTCGGAGGCGCTGCGGCGGTGCCCATGGCCGCAGCCGACGGGGGCACCGTGGACCTGCGCGAGATGCTGGCCGTTTCGGTGCTGGCCGCTGTTCGCGGCGGCGACGAAGTGAGGCGCGTCCGCGAGAGCAACGTCCTCCACGAAAAGTCCAAGGGGAAGACGCGCGAGGGAGCCGAGGACAAGATGACCAGCGGGGACGTGCTGTCCAACCGCAAGATGTTCTACCTGCTCAAGACCGCCTTCCCGAACGTACAGGTGGGGTGCCCCGAGCGCTGGGCCCGGTGGGAGCCGGGCGGCGGCAACCCCAGCTCAGTTCAGGAGCGTGGGAGCCTAGGACCGTGTTCCAGCGCGTTGACTTCTCCCAGCAGTCGCCGGTTGTGGAGCTCTGGCTCCCATTTTGCAGATGTAGAGTTTGACATACTTAAGTTTACGTTCCCAAGGTCGCGCAATAGTTCGCGGTAGGGCAGGGTGAGGTTCCTGGTTGTCGGATACTGGGCCCGTGCCCTGCTGGCGCCAAGTCGGTGTGTATACGCGCTTTGTATTTGGGATCTGGAGCCCTGGGTTCTATTTGGGCCTAGTATCAAAAGGCTGTGAAAGTTAACTTCGCTCCCTGCTATAGGCTCTTCTGTAAAATGAAGAGGTTGAATTAGAACCCACGCCAAGGCCCTCAAGCCTTACTGGATTTAATTGCTCCAAGGGTCATGACTAGAATACACACTTTCTTGGACCTGTCGGGAGCCAACTGAAGGCCAAGAACTGTAGAGGTCTTGCTGAAGAGCTGTTTGTGTGCAGGGTATTTTGGGTTGGGGAGGGGTGCTCGTAGTTTACTTTAGCTTTAGTGTTATCAGGACCCTCTTAATGGCATATATTTTGGGGGCCCTACTAGGAAGTTTTTGGAAGTATATTTCCCATCAGCTTCATTTCTTCGATCTATCCCATATTTACTCCAGAAAATATCAATTGAAGAACATTGGCCTTTTCTTTTGGGTAAGTTTTCTGGGGAAGGCATTGACGTTTTCTTAGGGAAATCCAGACATTTTGGATTTGTTATTAATACTTTTTGAATTCATCACTTTAATGGAGTTTCTGTTGAATGTATGAAGCTTTTAAAAATTAGTACAAATTCCTGAGGAAGAGCTTAAAGTGTAATAATACTTAATGTGTAGTGATACTTTTTAAGTGCACATCTTATGTAGCAGGTAGGGTTTGGCAACTGGAAAGAAAAATAGTTTCCAGTGGACTTTTATTAATTATAAACAGTGAAATCTAAACCCTGGCTTCTTTGGAAGGTGTTTGACCTTTTACCATGTTTCTAGGAGAGTATTGCCATTATAGAATTAAGTATCCTTTTTAACCCTCCCTCCAGCCTATCAGAATATTGCCTTAGTTTTCTTCCTCTTCTTTTTTTCTTACTGTCTTTTTTCCTTTCCTTTTCAAAAATATATTTGCATTGGTAAGGAATATTGGCTTTCATATCATGAGTTGCTGTATACCAGATGTAGTTGACATGGGAATTCTCAAAGTAAATGCAGAATATTTCCACTTACTCTTTTGCCTTACTCTGCTTTATTATCGTAATACTTACCTTGTTTTTGCATCTAGATGTAAGATGTGCTCGAAGAATACTATTCTTCTCCAAAACATAACATTTTTCCCTGAGACTTTGTGGATAAAATAAGAGTTTCAAAGAGGTTGATGTATGATAGTTGTAACAGTAGTAATCGTAACCATTTCTTTTAGTGTATTTTAGGTTCCTGGATCCTGGTCAGGACTTCATTTGCTCCTCACCTCAACTTTAAGAAGTATATTTTACTTATGCCCACTCACCGCCACGAAATGTGAGATTCCTGACACACTAATCCACCGTCTAGATGAATTTTTTGATTCTTCATTTGAGTTAGATCTTTAGGAAGCTATGTAAATGTATGGTATGATTTCCTGAGGAAAAACCAGAAAATTGTAGAAGCTTAACAGCACTTATAGTGAAATGTAGCAAGCAAAGTTGATTTTTTTCTTTAAAGACAAAAATATTCGTAAGTACTGAAGACATATCTGTGCATGTATGTAGGTTCACATGTGAACCTCACCCCACACCACCCTTACCACGCCTTTTGCCTTGGGTGACTTCCACAGGATTCTGCATTTGTTTTCAGTTATTAGCAGACACTAAGGGAATAGCTGCCAAGGATGGTAAGCTGTGTTTTTTTAAAAAAACAGAAGCTAAGCTTTCAGAATTGGAGATGTTGAAGCCTCTGTCTGCCTTTATATAAAATAACTTTTTGTTTTCTGTGACTGAGTAGTTACATGTACATCTTTGTGTTTCTGTTGGATGGTAATTGGTGGACTAGAGGAGGTGTCAAAGTAGGATGGTGTCATGTTGAACCATGTCTTTGTCACCATGTTGTTAGACTAGAGGCTAAATGTTGTAGCTAAGTAAGTCAGCCCTAGATTCTTAAGTTTTTTCCCTCCTGTCTCCAAACACCTAGCAGTTAGTGTTAAGTATCTGGTTGCTTTTGAAAACTTACCTGAAATTTTCTGGTAAGGACCTTAAGTCAAATCCCACTGAGTTTACTTCCTTGTGGAAATTAGCTTTGATTTATCCTGGTGCCCTGTGCAAATGGAGAGAAATCTCTCTTCTCCCATGGCTTTCCTATCTAGAGTCAGTCTTGAGCATTCTTAGCTGATGTTCACTTTTCACTAAAGATATAACAGGTGTGACTCCAGAGTACTCAATCAGGGACAGTGCCCCCAGGGAATGTTTGTAAATTGGAGATTTTTTGGATGTCACACTGGGATTGAAATGCTATTGGCATCTAGTAGGTAGAGAGTAAACCTCTCACAATTCACAGGACAGAATTCTATAACAAAGAGTTACTGGCCTAAGTTTTCAACTGGTAACCATATTCAGTAACTCTACTGTAGAGAAGTGAGAGTTGGTCCTGAGAAAACTCAAGTTTGGCCTAGGATCTCCAGATTTCCTTTTGTCTTAGCCTTTCTGACATCTGGGGTCCTGTGAGAGCCTTAGGGCAGCTATCTCCTCTTCCTAAAAACATTGGCAGTGCTTGATTTCATTGTGTGAAAATAATATAACAGCAACTATTTGTATAACACAGTCTCATTCTGTCCTTCTGGATAATGAAATTGAAGGCTGAAGATAGTTTTTTGGAGTGAATTTGAAGCCCCGGGACAAACCCAAAGTTAAATTTGTATGTTTGATTTAGTGTACAGGGAACACAATTTGATGGGTTTCTGTCCTCAACTTGTTCAAAGTCTTTGCCAATGACTTATTTGAAGATAAAGCATGGTACTGCAAACTGGTAGGAGTCTTGGTTCTGGGCCTTCCTTGACTTCTACGGTAAGAGTTACTTATACTCTTCTCTCCCAACCAGAGTACTCACTGGAAAAGTTTGAGAAGTGCTAATGTGGTGCAAAGAACACATGCCTTGATGTATTACCCAGTCATCAGCCTAGGTATCCTACTTAGTCATTTGATTTCTTTGAGCTATAGTTTCTTCTGTAAAATTGAGAGAACTAGGAATTTGATAATTAACACAGACTAATCATTGCAGACAGAAAAAAAAGGAGTTCAAAGGAGCCAGCCAGAAGTGGTAGTGTAGTAAATTCTAGTAGTTTGATGAGTGTGAATCAGATGTATAGGGGAGAATGACTGTAGAAGAAATAGGGAGTAGGAAGAGGCTAGATCACATGCTAAGCCCAAGAAGTTTGGACCTGATCTTTAGTTTAATCCTAGTACTATGAGAAGGCCAGATTAACCTGACTTTTCTTGTTGCCTGCAATATGCCATACTTTGAGCTTTGGGCATTTGGAGGTGGAGGAAACCAGTCAGGAGACTTAAAATAGGCCATGTGAGGGATGAGGATCAGACAATGGAAAAGTTACACTCAGCTTGTTTTACTAGCTAACATTTACATAGTCCTCAGTAAGTAGCAAGCACTGAATTAAGCTTTTTATTACCATTGTTAATTTACTTTTGACAACAACATAAGAAGTTAAGTGCTATTGCCTCCATTTTTGCAGATAAAGAAACTGAGGCTTGGAGAGCTCAAATAATTTGCCAAAGATTACACAGCTAGAAAATAATCTTAGGCTTGCAGAGATTCACTTAATGGCCTGGGAATCATGTTGGCAGGTCTGTCTAATTCTGTGAATAAGACAGTATAGAAGTTATAACTACAGTATACTTTTAACCACAGGATTTTAAATGATTGGAAGGATTCACAGTAGATGATTGGAAAATAGTTTGGAGGGCGTAGACCAGTCAGGAAGATTTTTTCAATTGAAGTATGATACATTGTAAATTGGTGTTATGGCTGTAGAGTAGAGAGATGTGGAAAGATGTAAGAGAATTTCTAAGGATTTATCAAAAATGGTTCCTCTGTTTATGACTTTCACAATTGGTGTTTTGCTGGTGGTGAGGGGTAGTGATACAACTTTGTGAGTCATCAGTGTTACGATACTGAAACCAGTTGTGAATAGGATTGCTTAGGGAGAGAATGTAGTTTGAAAGGGGAAGATCAGAGCCTATGATCAAGGATAACAAAGATTGAAAAAAATCATTAACAATAATAATAGCTAACATTTTTTTAGTACTTACTCTGTGTTAAGTATTGTATTAAATTTTCTTGACCTTTTCTGTTTCATTGATTGATCCAAAGAACCCTCTAAGAAGGTAACACCCACTTTTAGCAGTAAAGTAACTGGGGCTCAGTCAGAAAAGATTATGTGTCTAGTCTACATTCCCAGTAAACTGAGGAGCTGGAATTTTAACTCAGGCCATCTGATATAGAACACATACTCTTAATAATAGTTCTTTTGTAGTTATTGGTGAACTTCATGAGAGCTTCTTTGGCGGCTTGAAGCAAAATTGAAAAAAATGGGAGGAAAGGAAATTGAGACAGTGATTAAAGATGAGTCTTTCAAGAAATTGGGCCCCTAAGGAACTTCTCTAGGGTATTACTTGGGATGAAGACAGTTCTATAGATTTTTTTTTATGTCAGATACTAGAGCATATTTAATTATTTGGGTTATATTTGAAAGAGAGTGTTGATAGGAAAAGGCTTCTGAAGATGAAAGGAGAAGACAATGATGTTTATCCATTTAGAAAATAGTTACTGAATGGCTACTGTGTGATAGGCACAGTGTGAAGTAGTATATCTAAAAACTTATTAGAATGTAATGATTTAGAGAGAAATGCAGGAAATGGTACCTTCTTAAGGCATTAACAAGAGACTTTT